CGTCATAAAAAAAAAAGAAAAAGAAGAATATAAATAAAAAAATTAAGAAAACTAAGGGCAATGTATAATAAATCAAGTATTTAAACGCAAAAATACTAGATACGAAATAAAAACGTAATCTCATATTGGTATTAGTATTAGTACATAAAAATTAGTAAATTGAATATTTCTTTTTTCTTCCTTCATTGTACCGGTCTGCGAACAAGTAAAAGGATTACCTATGCATTATTACAATTGCAATATCATTGCCATTGTTTTGTATTGTATACTCTAGTCAAATGAATAAATAAATAAATAAAAATCTGTTCTTCCTTTACACCAGTTGAGCATTCTTTACTTTCGGTATAAACTGTTTTTCACGAAAAAAAATTTTTTTTTTTTTTTTTTTTTTAAAAAAAGTTGGTTGGATCGCTTTTAAGTTGCTTATGCAAAAAGTTGTTTCTTTGTGAAAATTGAATCAATCATAAACTAGATAAATCATTTTGATATAATTTCAGCAGCAAGTATAATGACTATACTTTAGTTTCATTTATTTTGTTTTTAAGACAGAGTTGATATAGCTTTGAGAGAACCTCTGATGGAATTCTGTCCTTTTAAGGCTGTAGTTTAAGCAGTTGAAAACGAAAGACCTTCAAAAATGCAATTTAAAACCAGACATTTAGGTTTGAATATATTTTTCAGTATTATTTCATGATTAACTTAGAAAACGTTTTTCAACGTTTTTAATCTCCTCTTATACAGTTGTATACCTACTACTGACACCATTTTGATGAATCGCAACAAATATCCCTTCGTATTTTTAAACCAATAGATTTTGAGGAATTTAGTAAACATAAGAGCCATCCCACACGTCCACGTAAGACTGAATTCTGAGCTAAAAACAACGAGTTGGATCGCCAAAACTTAACAAGTGAATACATTTATGTAAAAAACACTGTATGACATGCAAGACATGACCAGTATTCGGATTACCAGAGAATAAAGTATGTGCCCGTTTTTTTTAGTTTAATATCGTATCAAAACAAGTTGTATATTCATGTTTTGTCAGTACATGTCGAAAAAAAATGTTTTGCACTAAAAAATGATTTTTCGGATATTTTAAAACCATTTATGTTATTATTGTGTTAGGATGACACTACTTGTGCTATTTTGATCCAATTTTCTTGTTTAAAGTATCAGGACAATACGGACGACAACGATAAATACAAGAAAAGTGTATTTTTACAAGATCAACATTTGTATTTAAGATTTTGTCCACAAATCTAAGAGGAGAATTTATGAGTGGTTACTGGATCATTGGGTTACTCCCATAGTATGGTCGTGCCTAAAAAAAGAACAAACGAGCATAACTTAAGTTCGTAGGAGTAAACTTTTTTTTTAAATCGCCAACATAATGGTTGGCAACAGGGATTTCGTTCAAGTTCAAGTGTGCCCACAGGTATAAGACACTCATGAGGAAAATTGGTAATTAAGGTTGGAAACCTCGGATCCCCAATCCAAGACCAAACTCATTAAGGACTGTTTTTGCCGCTCAACTTCCACGACCGTGTTGTGAGTCCTACCTCCGACTATATTGTCATTACTCACTGATCCCGAACTAATGGAGCTCACGTACATATTTCCTCATTTTTCAGATTTTGCTTCAGTGTAGCGTGGTATGCAAAATAAAGGAAAAAAAAAAAAAAAAAAAAAAAAAAAAAAAAAAAAAGAAAAAAGAAAAAATGAAAGTTCTCCATGTACAGAAGCCGACTGAGCGAACAAGACCCAAGAAAGTGTAACGTTTTTTGCAAGGTACCGTTACGCAATTTCACGCTGGGCGGGAAAAAAAATCTCGATGCGTGCATATAAACATCGGCGCTTCCTCGATCAATACAATTCACCTCGTTGCAAGCACCGTACTTCCAACTGCAAGTTTTGTTCCTTAAAAATAACTCGACGGTGTTTCATGGAAAACAAATAAAATTGGCGCATATATCTCCCATCCGTAACGGCACCCAAAGTTATTAAAATGTTTTGTCACTAGCTGAACCGGAGATGCAAAAACAATGTGAAAAAAACCTCATAGCCACATCTATTACTTCATTTTCGCAATTAAATATTACTTTTAGATATACGTTATACTCAACGGTAGACTTTAATTAGCAAACTTTGTTATGTCTACAAAAAAGGACTTGAGAACAAAAAGAAGAAAAAAAAGACTCACCAATTAAAAACGGGGACATCCGCTCGTCAGATCACACGGAAAAAACGCGCACTCCCGAACACACTCGAACCGACCACACGGAGACGAGAAACAAAAATCACCGAAGCACTCAAAACTCGACGGAACAAAAAAAAAAGGAAAAAACCACGAGGTCGCGGGAAAAAAACGCGTTCACGGCACTCGGATGAGTTCACGAGCTAACTACCGTGGTCGCCGATCGCTTAAAGGGCCCGTCGTCGTGTAAGGAAAACGGCCCAAAATCGCGTGCACCGCGCGTATATATACACGGTACGTTTGGGCCCAAAGGAGGAGGCGTACGGTACAACCGGCCGGGAAGCGGAGCACAGAATAATCTCGCGCGCAATGGACACGTTCGATGAGCACCGAATAAAGTGACTACTTCTACTGTGGCGTGTGACTTTGTCTCGCGTGCGACGTCTGCCAGTGACTTTGGCGACGACGATGACGAGGGCAGTAGCTGCGGCGTTACAGCTGCAGGGCCCCGTTACTCCGCGCCGGCGGCTCGAGCGCGACCGGCGAAACCAACCTCCTCGGCCGCTCCCGCAATCGTCGACTTGCGAGTTGAATAACCTTCTGGGCCCCCTCCCGGACCCTTTCCCACCTTCGCGGCTGTGTTTGCGTGCGACTGTACATAACGAGCGGCCTTATGATTTATAAACATACTCGACTTTTTTTTTTTTTTTTTCCTTTTCCCCCTGCCACTGGTGACATACCGATCTCCACCGATTTTTCGAGGATCGGCGCGTGACGAGGGTTATTGACGGTTTTTACGGTGGCCTGGCTTGATTCGCGCGGTGGGTGGAGGATGTGGGAGAAGGTCGCGGAACCGATGTTTCGAAATCGGTTGACCGGTACCGGTCTCTTTACGTAAGTCTTCCCTCTGGCAATCGAGAAACAGAATTTCGAGCTTGTTTTTTTTTCTCCTCCCGAATAATTGGGTGTGTCCCAAGAAAAATCGTTCATTTCAACAGTATAGACTATTGGAAGGTATAATTTAACGTAAACAAGGATACAAGTGTTTGAAAGTTTTTTTATTGATAAGGAAAATTTTCATTTTTCAATGATCCAGATGTTTCGTAAAAGTAAAACGGCAAAAGTTACTTCGTGAAAATCTTGGCATGATTTTTTTTTCCAAAATCCGTTACAGGACAATCTTTCATAACCGTACCTCGTTTCGAAAGCTATTTGGTCGAATTACGCTGTCATGTAGCTGAGGGACTGTCACCTCGTTCTGTCTCTCGTGTTACATACATGGACAATGGTATTCCTGTCTTTACAGCTATGATTCGGTACACCCGAAATCCGAATTAGTAAGTACCCGATGATTTGGCAATTGAAATTAGATCACTTTTGAATCCGTGGGACTTTAGGTGCTGTTTACAATTGTATGAACATCGCTTATGGTTGAATTTTTTTTTTTTTTTTCACTTGGCAGTACTGCACTTTACATTTTATTACAGAAACTTCAACTGTTACATCGTGCCAAAATCATATAGATTCACCGAAAAAATAATGATCAAATTGTTTATTCAGTGTTAAAAAGTATAACTTTTCTGTTTCAAAATTTGTACTACCATTAAGAAAGAAAATTTTGATTTTATTGTTTTTTTTTTGTATTTTAATTTCATCGATTTCTTGAGATGTATTTTTGAGAATTGTTCCAAAATAATGTATGTCAGAAAATGTGGAGGATTGTGATATTTCTCATAAAAAAATCTTAGTTGGATAGAAAAAAAAAAAAATTATTGTTTGTCTTTAAAAGCTATCGGACTTATCTCTACATTCCCCGGACTGATTTTAATGAAATACTGCTAATTTTTTTAATATTATCTAATTGTTATAAAAAAAAGATAATAATACGATTAGTCCATTTGTTTTAACAATTTAAACGAGGTACTCGAGTTAGGACATCGTAAAATTTTTAAGGAACAAAGTGACTCAGGGTTAATGAAAAATACATTATTATATTAAATTGAATTTCACACGTTATTTATGAGAATTTCCTAATTTTATTTTCAGTGGATCATTTAACGTTGTTGTAATGAATGAGAGATCTGGAGGTACTCACTACGAAGAGATCATAAATGAATAATCTACAAGCTGCTTCTCCCTAGTCTGGTAGAGGTAAAGAGTAATCAAATATAGTCAAATGACTTCTTGCCTCGGTATGTCACGTCACAAAACCGATGCATGTGTATAAATGTAACTTTTAAAAATCAAGAGTTCTTACTTCGATATCATATAAAATTGTATGAAGTAAAAGCTTGATTGATATTTTTTTGTTCCATCCATACCTAATCGACGATATGGTTAACACACATTTATCTCAGGTTACTCCAGTAATTAGAGGTATTAATTAATTTAATCGTGATGATTACAATTTAGCCATTGTCATCTGCAATCCCTTTCTACATCGAAACAACAGTTTTTTTTTACTCATTACTTGTTCAAAATCGAGTACACATATGCCTTGATATTTTCGAAACAGGTTATTCAACTCTAATACAAATCCATCCACTTTGCTACGGTCCTTGAACCTTCTAGCGCCAACTCGGAGTATAAACATCCGCTAAGCCGATCGTCATCGGAGGTATAATGTATGCACGCGTTTTACAGCAAGCGAGTTTAAAAAAAAAAAAAAAAAAAAAGGAAAAAGAAAAAAATCGTTCCCAAGCAAGAAGTCGATCCGAATAGCTCAGCTGTTATTCGCCTCGTCGCATATTTTTGCCATCGCCCGCGCCCGACTGTTATGAACGATGCCGCAGTAAAAGATAACTGTTCCTTTTCCTCTCGCTCGCGTTCGCCCATCCGATTTAATGCCCAGCCTTACCGATCCATTTCAGTTTTTCGTCCCTCTCGAGCTCCCCCCCTCCGTTCTTACTCCTTCTTTTTGCTCTCCCACCGATCGTGTAAAGACGGCTCAATTGTGTGGTGCACTAATGATTAATGGGAGAGTTACCGGGGAGTACCGTACAGAGACAATCCGCGCCGATTTTGGTCCAACGAGGATTATGTGGTACGGAAAATTAATGAATTCAGGACTTGACCCGCTTTTTGGATGTACTTTGGATTTACAATTTTAAGTTATTTTTGATTCTTGACCGATTCTTTCTCCTTGAAAGGAAAGGTATGATTGTATTTTTTTTTAACTTCGAAACCTGGAGCAACGAATGTCTATTTTTTTCATGTTGTAAAACGTACACGGCATATTTTCTAATGTGGGTAAAATGAGGCGCTACAACTATGGCTTTTTCAAATGAAAATTCACTGATTCGCAAAACCACGTAATTCAAATTCTTGACGGTATAACTAATCGCATTTAAACGCAAGGAAAAACCATAACTACAAAACAAAAATACAACAATTAAGAATTATCTTATGAACTACAACTTAACAAAAGTTCGGACCATTTTTTTTTCTTTTTTTTTTTTTGGTTATTTATTATAAAACAATTAAAGGGTTTTAATTTCGTGGTTTGCGAATTTAGCCGCGGTCGGTGTATGTATTTTTTGGACAACTATGGGCTCGTAGTGGTTCGTAGGAATAACGCCATAGCAAAAAATAATATAATCAAAAGAAAAAAAAGATTTTTTTTAACCTTTGGTTTTCCATTCGCAACACGGGTAATTAATAACATTAGCGAAAGCGTAAAGTCTAATATTGAGGGATTCACTTTGAATCGCAGCAAACAATAGTCATGGGGAGAATGAATTTCCTTACGAGGAACTTGCGGAACTCAACCGTTTTATCGTACACCGGAAACATTCGCATTACATACTCATTTTTTTCTATTAAATGATATGGCCAAGCATAGTTGCGTAATTTTGTGGAATAAAACCACTGACGACATATAAATTTTATACTAAAATTTCATTTCTGGATGGATCGAACTCTTTTAAACACGTTCGTGAAATATCACTTATGTTTTTATCAAAAAGCAATAATAATGTTAATATTAATTTAAAAAAGATACGTATCAAACTGTCCATGGTAAAATAGAATACTCCAAGATTTACTGCAGATACACACTCGGAGTGTATGTTACCTTATCGACAAAAGATTTTTTTAATAATAAAATATTTTTCAACACTTGACATTTAACCACAAGCTAGAATCACCTATCAGTCGTTACTAATGAAAATATGTTTTTTATATCATACAAAAAAAAAATTTTCCATCGCGTAAACAAATAGAAAAACCAACCTATTCATCTTAAAATTCAGTTCAATATATAAAATCACTAATAATGCACGAGTCAATTATTATTCCTCGATATTAACTACATACAAAAGGTAAATATCATATATGAATTAGTAGTTACAGCAGTTGATGGTATCGATTTATTGATGAACCAACGAAAGAAAAAGTTCCACTATTTTATAATTTCTTTCAGGATTAATTGTGATAGATCAAAACTCACGCTCAGCGGCCTCAAATTTTAAAAATGAAAATTTTGTCGACGATTGGACTTAAAATTGTTCAGAGCATACGATGGATTTTGAGAAACATCACCTATAGAAAAGGTAATAAGATGTGGTTGGAAAAATAAACCGGTAACCGGCACTAAGCTGCCAGCAAAGCTTATGTTTGGACAGCAGAAAAAATGTAAGTAATTGCCATTAAAATAATGTAATGACAAAACTATAATGAATTTTTGGAAAAGTATACTTCTTAATAATACTATTTACGTATCGTGTAATTAGGATAAAATGCAAATGTGAAATTAATAATTATTTTATTGCCGTAAGATAGTGTCCGGATAATCAGACCCACTTATTTTCATTAAAGCCAAGAATCGGACAAAATTCGTCTGAAATATCAGTCTCACAATAGCATCTGAGTCGGGCATGTATGTTTACAAAAGCTTGAATTCTTTTTTATGTATATTCTGGACCTTATGATGCAATGAGTAATAAAATATGATTTTAAACGCGCAGATTTTGGTACTTAGTTTTTATAATTAATCTACAAAATATTAAGAAAGGCGATATTTTACGTAATTCCTACAAAAATCAGCGCTAACTACACATCTATAG